GGGCAGGGCGCGGAGGGGCTGTGTGTGGGGCTCCCCCGCGCCGTGGGACGCGGCCCGGGGCGGCCCCGGCCGAGCACCTCTAACTTCGGGCGAGGCGCGCCCACCCCTGCCGTCCCGGACCGCGGAGCCCTCCTCCGGCCTTGCGGTAGGGGCTTCTCAGACGCCTGCGCCCCCCTTCGCCCTCCGGCACTGCTGCCCAAACGGGGTCCCGCTTTCCGGTGGCAGACACCAGAGAGGGACGCGGTTCTGGGGTCCCCGCGCTGGTGCCTGTAGATCCCCCCCCAGGAGGGCCTGGTTCATTAGGGCCTGGAGGGTGCTTTGCTGCTCTGCTTCCCTGGGGCCAGGACACGCTGTTTGCCTTGCCTGGGGAAGAAAGCCCAGGAGGACGAGGCTGGGGGCTTGGAGTGAGGCAGTCACCTCCAAAGGGGCTGGGTACTGGAGGTGGGCCAAGCATGGCCCCTCCTTGGGTCCCCACTGTCCCGGGAAGGGCCTGGCAGAGGTGCCCACCCACCCACTTTTGGAGCTGTTCTCTGTCTCTTAACCCCCCCCCCCCCCCCCCCTTCCCTTCTCATGAGACGATATCCATGGCTCGCCACACCCCCCCCCCCCCCCCAAACTGTGTGCGAGTCCTCAAGCCAAAGCTGGAAACGAGAGCTTGGGTCCCCTCAGAAGCAGCGTTAGGTCTAGGAGTTCAGGTTCCTTGTGGGTGTCTGTGGCCCCAGGGTGATGCTGGACAGAGGGAGGGATGAGTGGTCAGTAGCACTGCCACGGGCAGGCCCTTGGGCCCAGATCGGGGGCTCAGAGTCAGTCTCTGACTTCAGGCAAGGCAGGTCCCTCACAGGAGGCGGGGAGCCTAGGAGCTGTGACCCTCGCTGGGTCTGTGAGGAGGCCTCGCAGGAGTGTGCTGAGCCTCCGCAGAGCAGCAGGTTGGCCACAGGCACTGGCAGGACGTCACTTAGAGCTCCCTCCTCGGATCCGTGGCCCTGGCTGCTCTTCTCCCTTGAGGCCCTTGGGCTTTTGAGAATGGGTGCTCGTGGGCCTTTTCCAGAGGAGGCCATGGGGAGATGGGGCCTGCCACACTCTCACTAGGGTCCTCAATTTCCAAGGCCCCTGAACATCTCTTGTGTGGGTTGATTCTGAGGCAGGCAGGGCTGGAATGATCGGCCCTATTTCCAGGTGGGAAAACCAAGGTCATCCAAGCAAGGGAGGCCTGGAGCAGGGACTAGGCCTGACCTTAAGGTCTTCTGTCCTGTTCTGATGTTCTGGCCAAATCCATTTTAGTACATGCCTGAAGGCAGAGTCTTCAGTGGGCTTGTTAAATCCCCCTCCAAGGGAGAAAATACATTGCTTAAACCCTCCTACCCACCTGTCCTTTTTTCCCCTTCTGTCATACCCGGAGGCCCTCTGGGGCTTTGCCTCTGACCCCCACCTCCCGAATCTCCTTCCTCTGCAGCTGGGCACAAGTGCTGCTGGTGGACCCCTGTCTGAACCCAGCAAGGGGCCCTCAGGTGGGCCTGCCTGAGTCACCCAGAGGTGAGTTAAGTGTGGCCCTGCCCTCAAAGACCACTGGCTGATAGGGGAGACAGAATGCACCTTGACCCCAAACCCTCGCACAGCTGGTGGGCCAGGCTGTAAAGCCCAGGGAGGGGTCTTCATGGGGGTATGTTTGAGGGACTTTGTTGACAGATCATTTTCTTATTTATTCATTGCTTTTTTATTTTCAAAATGTCTGCAGTGGGGAAGAAAAGCAGAGCCTTTGGTGTTTGTGCTGGTAAATTTTCAGGTCTTCTGCCCCGACACCTGGACTTGGGTTTGCAGATGAAGGCTGGGGGCAGATACAGCTTCTAAATGTAATAGGAGAGGATCAAGAGACAAGGTCCCAGGGCTGTGAGATGTCCTGGTACCAGTTAGTCTCCAGCCCTAACAGAGTGGCTGGCACACTGGCAGAGGGTGCCCTGATGGGCTGGTGCCAGACCTTGCTTAGGCAGTCACTCTTTCTGCTATACCTGGGGCTCCAACTGCTAGAAAGCGATCTGAGAGCCAGCCCCCTCCTGGAGGCGCCAGGCCAGGGCAGTGCGACCAAGGTTATCATTGGTTTCTGGGCCCCAAGCTGTCGCTGTTTGGGAGCCATGGCTGCCAGGCACTGGATTTGTGGGGCGGGGGCTGTAGCTGCAAGAGGAATGGATTGCTTCACCTATAGGCTGGGCCCTGGGCAGTGGCCCAGGGACTCACTGAGGGCTGAGTTTGTGACATTAGCCTGCAGGCTCTTCTTCCTGTTCTCCCCGGATCCTGCAGACTGAGTGTGAACCCCTTCCAGTTGGCGCACAGCCCTTGCTTAACCCTTCCTTTCTTCTGTCACCCCTTGCTCCAGTGTAGTCCTGCTGTGTGTCTTAGAAGGTGCTCAGGGCCCTCTTGGACAACTGGCCTTAGTGGTCCCTCCAGCTATCATGACCTGTGGATCAGGGTGTGTGGCCCAGGACTTGATACTTTGACCTTTACATTGTTGTGCTTTTGGGCATTTTGGGGCCTGGATATTCCTTTAAGAGAGGAGAAAGCAGGCACTACTGGCCCCAGCCCTCCCTGGCCCTCTCTGTCCCCCAGTTTGCATAGAGGTGGGTGGCTTCTCTGCACCTGAGCATATTCTTTATCTGGAAATGGCTACACGGGGCCCACAGGGTGGGGGTAGTGGGCAGCCGGCCAGGGCCAGTGCCAGGTGTGGAGAGCTGGTGGCAGAAGGCCCAGCCAGTGTGTGCACAGGGGGCCCTTCAGCGAATGACCACCTGCTGAGTGAGGTGGCTTGCACAGCATCCTGTGTGCAGAGGGAGCCCCTGTTTTCTGTCCTTAGAACAAAGGCTGTTAGTGACACACTCTTAGGCCTGGCCAATGGGAGCACAGGCTCAAGAGGGAGCCCCTGGGCTTGAGCCCAAGCTCAGTGTTTCCTTGCTGTTTTTCAGTAGGAAATACAGCTCACTGTATTTCAGCCTCTAGTCCCCAGTACCACAAAACAAAAGGACAAGCAAGCAGACCCAAGCCACCCAGATTTCCAGGTTCCTTTCCAGCTCTCACGGTCCGGTGCTGTGAGCAGCTACTGACTAAAGCTGTGCAGCAGCTCCTCTTCCCAGAGGGCCTAGTCTTCACTCTGCTGCAGTCCCCACCTGGCCGGCTGGCCTTTGTCCCCTGCTGGCTTCCAGGGACTCTGCTTTGCTGTTTGGGAGAGCAACTGCGTGGTACCAGGCCCCTGACTTGGGGTCTTTGCTCCTCCATGCAGAGGGGCTGCATTGTACCTCCTCTGTTCAGTTGCTTTTCCAGCTCCCATGGTGTGGGGGGGCAGGGTGTGGTTGTTGAGGGGGCCACCGGGGAGGAGGCGGGGGAGGCTGAGGCTCTGAGGCTCCAGCCTGCTGTGTCTGGTCTCGTTCCCGTTTTCTCTGCCTCCTGCCATGGTCCTGGACTGTGTGCTTGGCTCTAAGATGGGGTGCGGGGTTGCTGATCCCCCCATGAAGGGGTGCAGGAGGAGCTCAGGGTCTTGGGTGGCTGTATGTTGGTGGGCAGTCAGTTCTCTTCTTTGAGCCTCTGGTTATTTCTCTGTGAGACGGGGTTACAGATTCTGCTCTCCCAGCAGCTGCTGGAAAGATTGTTGGCCTCTGCCTACGAGGCCATGGTGATGGCTTTGTCTCAGTATTGGCCTCTGGTGCAGGGTTCCCCAAAGCCTGGCTGTGGGGCTGTTAGGAAGGGGGTGAGCAGAGGCTGGAAAGGGGGAGCCCTGTGTGTGGGGGTGGGGCTCCTGGCTTACGGACCCTGGGGGTGTTCCCTGTAAGTCCCCACCTCACAGGGAGGGAGCAGCTCAGTGAGGACAGCCCTGGAGTTCAACTGGTGCATTTGGTGTGACCTGTGGGAACTCGAAGCTGAGGCCGGCGTGACCCTCTGAGGTCTCCCAGCCTGGCAATAGCAGTGCTGGGACAGGAAGTTCGGGCTTCTGTACCCAGGCCGAGGCTCTGAGCTACGTTCCTGGGAGGAGGAGAAAAGTAGTTGGTTTTTCATTTTTAACTGGTTTTAATATTTAATTACAGAAATTAATTGCATTTGATTATTGAAAAATCAGAAAATACAGCAAGCAGGTGGGGAAAAAGGCTTAGGATATATGCTCTTGGAGGCAGACCACTGATGTGTTGGTGTGTAGTCTCCCAGGTGACGTTGTGGCTGGTTTGCAGTAGCAGGGAGGGAACGCAAGGCCTCGGGCATGCTGGGTGGATGCTCTTCTGCTGAGCTGCAGCCCTAGCCCCAGTGACTTTTTTTTAACATATGGTAAGAAAAAAAATTTGATGATCACAGCAACTTTTGTTAACAAAACAAAACAAAAGAGTTTTGTCTGTCCCAGGCTTTGTGTGGAGTTGAGGGGTGTGGGTCAAGGGAATTTGAGGTATTCTCAGATGGACATCACGATCAGCCCCATCATCCCTCCGGGATGGGATGGTTTCTCTGTCCCCTGTAGCTGGACAGTGAGTTGTTTCCAGCATTTCTGCAGTTAGCAGCTGGTAGCTAAGTCCTCATATGCATTGGGGATTCTTCTTTTAGGGTCCATTTCTTGACTTTGCGGCGCCCCTTTACCGCATCCAGACTGGATATGGGTTTGCAGTAGCACTGTGTCTCAGGGGAGGGAAGTTTCAGGCATCCGCTGAAAGCTTCCTATTCCTCAGTAAAATCTTTTGTGGTCAGCAGATGGGGCAGGGAGGGCCCCCAACCCCGGGGAAGGCTGTCCAGGAAAGGTGTGGAGATACTGTGTCCCCGACGCCCAGGCTGGCACTCACAGCCTCTGAGTCCCTGTGGGTTTGATGGGAGGTGAGTGAGGAATGTGGCCCCTGCGCTCCTGTAGTGGTGACAGAGGAGGTGGGAACCCAGAAGGCCCCTTCGCTTACAGCAGGAGGGTCTCGGAGGCTGGAGGGAGGCCGGTGTGTCAGGCTCTCCGCCGTGTGTCTTCCTCCTGCTAGGAGCAGTATTGAGGCTGGTTCTGTGGCACTGGCTCTGGGACTGTGGTGAGTCACCTGCCCCCGCACATTCCTCTCTATAGGAGAGGGTTAGACGTGGCCTCTTCACTCTGTGCCACTCAGATGAGACAGCAGATGCAGGAGCTCTTACAGGAAAGCACTGCAACACTTTGTTAAGGAAAATGGAACATTCACAGAGGAAGGGAGAGTAGTGTGCTTACTCCCCCAGCCCCAAAGGCCTCTGTTTCCAGCCTCGAGTTACCACTGCACCCACATACTTTCCCCTCAGACAGCGTAGGAGCCTGCTTCACTCATAAAAATGAGGGTCTACCTTACAAAAAGAGAAGGGCTCTTGAAAACCACATGTGACCATCAAAAAACCCTGTTGGAACTGATAAATGAATATAGTAAAGTTGCAAGATTCAGAATCAACTCACAAAAATCAAGAGGGTTTCTATATACTAATAATGAACTGTCCAGAAAAGACACTTTAAATAGTAACAAATTATACCATTTATAATAGCATCAAAACAAAAAATATTTAGAAATGTCACATGGAAGGACATGGAAGACCTGTATACTGAAAATTATGAAACATTGATAAAAGAAATTGAAGACACACATACAAATGGAAAGATATCCTGTGTTGATGAGGTGGAAGAATTAATACCGTTAAAATGTTCCTATTACCTAAAGCAGTCTACACATTTAGTACAATTCCTGTCAAAATTCTTATAACATTTTTCACAGAAATAGAAAAAATAATCCTAACATTCATGTAAAACCATAAGAGACTGCCAAGGAGCGAAAGAAATATTCAGCAAAAAGCAGGAAGCATTATACTCCTTGATTTCTCTTTTTTTTTTTTTTTTTTTTTTTTGGAAACAGGGTCTCACTATGTAGTTTAGGCTGGCCTTAGACTCACTGTGTAGCCCAGGCTAGCCTCAAACTCACAGCAATCCTCCTGCCTCAGCCTCTTGAGTGCCAGGATTATAGGCATGCACCACCATGCCAGGCAATACTACTTTATTTCAAACTATGCTACAATGTTATAATAATTAAAATAGCATGGCATTGACATTTAAAATAGACACACTGACCAATGGAACAGGATATAGAGTGCAGAAATGAAGCCAAGCATTTGTGATTGATTTTCAAGAGTTGCCAAGAGCATACAATGGGAAAAAAGACTAAATTTCTTCATTAAGTGATACTGGGAAAACTAGATATCCACAGAGGGAAGAATGAAATTGGACCCTTGTCTCATACTGTATAGAGAGATCAACTCAAATGAAGACTTTAACGTAAGACCTGAAACTGTGAATATAGCTACTAGAAGGAAATGTACCGGGGAAGCTCCATGACACTGATCTGCACAATGAAGAAACTGCTGACAAAAGCAAAAACAGACAAGTGGGGCTATGTGAACCTGAAAAGCTTCTGCCCAGGAAAGGAGATCAATGGACAGAATGAGCAGACAGCCTATGAATTGGAAGAACATATTTATGTGAGTCAGATATGATAGAGGGTTAGTATCCAAAATATACAAAG